CCTGATCACACTACATTAATTCCACCTAGTTTTGAATTAAACACTTTTAGTTAATGGTTCTATTTGTTTTCCTTTCAGAAATAATTAATTTCAGTTTCATGTCTCATACCGTCAACCGTATCATCACAGTAGACTTAAACACAAAACTACCCCAAGCTAGCCTACTCCACCCTACACAAACCTGAGCAGTATAAATAAAGGTCCAGACTTCTGTTGGGCAGATAACTCTTATTTTTAAGTCGATTTTACAAAAAGAGTTGCTTCCCTTTGGAGAGCCCTCTTGCACTACATACATGACCTTATAACTATCCTATGTTAAATCATCAAATTAATTAGAACATTTATTGCTGTTTAGTAAGACCATATATGATGAACCAATAACTCTACCATTCCTAATGTTTGTCATAAAGGGAATTAATAAAGGGAATCAATAAAGGGAAAGTGTTGGAAATATTTTAAGAATCCCTGTTCCACTGCTCTGTGTTTTTTCCTATATATACAGTAACCTCCCCTTAACTTCCTTAAAGGATCTCTGTCCCTCTGCTCTGTGTTTTTTCCTATATACAGTAACCTCCCCTTAACTTCCTTATAGGATCTCTGTCCAACTGCTCTGTGTTTTTTCCTATATACAGTAACCGCCCCTTAACTTCCTTATAGGATCTCTGTCCCACTGCTCGGTGTTTTTTCCTATATACAGTAACCTCCCCTTAACTTTCTTAAAGGATCTCTGTCCCACTGCTCTGTGTTTTTTCCTATCTACAGTAACCTCCCAGTAACTTCCTTATAGGATCTCTGTCCCACTGCTCGGTGTTTTTTCCTATATACAGTAACCTCCCCTTAACTTCCTTAAAGGATCTCTGTCCCACGGCTCTGTGTTTTTTCCTATATACAGTAACCTCCCCTTAACTTCCTTATAGGATCTTTGTCCCACTGCTCTGTGTTTTTTCCTATATACAGTAACCGCCCCTTAACTTCCTCAAAGGTTCTCTGTCCCACTGCTCTGTGTTTTTTCCTATCTACAGTAACCTCCCAGTAACTTCCTTATAGGATCTCTGTCCCACTGCTCGGTGTTTTTTCCTATATACAGTAACCTCCCCTTAACTTCCTTATAGGATCTTTGTCCCACTGCTCTGTGTTTTTTCCTATATCCAGTAACCTCCCCTTAACTTCCTTATAGGATCTTTGTCCCTCTGCTCTTTGTTTTTTCCTATATACAGGAACCTCCCCTTAACTTCCTTAAAGGATCTCTGTCCCACTGCTCCTTGTTTTTTCCTATATACAGTAACCTCCCCTTAACTTCCTTAAAGGATCTCTGTCCCACTGCTCCTTGTTTTTTCCTATATACAGTAACCTCCCCTTAACTTCCTTATAGGATCTCTGTCCCACTACTCTGTGTTTTTTCCTATATACAGTAACCTCCCAGTAACTTCCTTATAGGATCTCTGTCCCACTGCTCGGTGTTTTTTCCTATATACAGTAACCTCCCCTTAACTTCACTTCTAATACGATTGTAAGCACATTTAGGCAAGAATACTTCCATTGACAGGGTAGCTGATCTATAAGAGGTTAGAGCGATAGGTACAACAATATGAAGTCTTCGGTTGGCATCTCAGTGTATAGTCCTGAGGAATTGTTTACATTCAGTGTATAGTCCTGAAGAATTGTTTACATTCAGTGTATAGTCCTGAGGAATTGTTTTCACTCAGTGTATAGTCCTGAGGAATTGTTTACACTCAGTGTTCTGTGTTTTTTCCTATATACAGTAACCTCCCCTTAACTTCCTTATAGGATCTCTGTCCAACTGCTCTGTGTTTTTTCCTATATACAGTAACCGCCCCTTAACTTCCTTATAGGATCTCTGTCCCACTACTCTGTGTTTTTTCCTATATACAGTAACCTCCCAGTAACTTCCTTATAGGATCTCTGTCCCCCTGCTCTGTGTTTTTTCCTATATACAGTAACCTCCCCTTAACTTCACTTCTAATACGATTGTAAGCACATTTAGGCAAGAATACTTCCATTGACAGGGTAGCTGATCTATAAGAGGTTAGAGCGATAGGTACAACAATATGAAGTCTTCGGTTGGCATCTCAGTGTATAGTCCTGAGGAATTGTTTACATTCAGTGTATAGTCCTGAAGAATTGTTTACATTCAGTGTATAGTCCTGAGGAATTGTTTACATTCAGTGTATAGTCCTGAGGAATTGTTTACACTCAGTGTATAGTCCTGAGGAATTGTTTACACTCAGTGTATAGTCCTGAGGAATTGTTTACACTCAGAGCACTCACTTCGGTTGTTGATTTTATTATGTTTATCTCATCCTTATTTTTTCTTAAAAAAGTCCTGCAGGGTATGGTTCTCTATTCAGAAATGATTTATCAAAACTACAGTCATGTCGGTAAAATAACAGGTTCTAACATTTAGTTACAGTTGGCAGTATGCAGGGATCCCGAGGTCAAGCAGGAAAACTCTCTAAAGGGAGATAATTTGGAAAGAGTATATTTTTCTAGGGATATTAATGTATAAATGGAAGTAGACAATATACATACTATATCTATGGTAGTTATAACTGAACGGAAAGGGGAAATCAAGGAATGTACTTTCAATTACTATAGTGATTCTCCTGTGTATTAGGTAATATTTACATAATGGTGGACCTTCATATTAATATTGGATATGGTAGCATGAATGCACTTGGCAAAGAACATTTTCTATGGTGTGTGTTAGCGCTTGGTAAAGGACATGTTCGTGTCAATCCTTATACTTACATCATAAACAATGATTAAATGCTATACAAAGAAAAAACCATTGAAGCGGGTTGGTACAATAGTTACTACGTTAGCAATGGTTGCTAGGATAATATATATAGTTCCAGTGAATCTACATTGATATATGGGTAAATTAGGAAAATATTCAGTGAGAAACACTATTTTTCTTCTTTTCAGAGCTTTTGAATTTTAAAATAAATAATACATATATAACACTCCTTATAATATGCACATTGACACACTGCTCTGGTAGTGACATGGTCAAATGTCCCAGAAGGACACCGCCATTGTTTACTTTACCGTCATAGAAATTTGGAAGTGCATCGATGGAATAAGAGGTTTTCCAGCTTCCTTTTGTGATATAATTAGACATAATATTAATGTATCCCCAAAAAGGTCCATGCTTCCAGATGTTGAAGGAACCATACAATGGCTGTCATTGGACAGTTATCTTGCTGAAGCGTGAACAGCGCCATATTTGAAACAAGTATCAATCCCCCGAGCCTTTTTTCATTGCTTATAATTAGCTTATCTATACACAGTCGGAGTTTACTAAGCTGAGGAAGAGAGACATGTAAATATGTACATGTGTATATTACATAAATCACCTTATATCTTATAAAGGGACCTCTGCAACAGTCCATAATTCTTCATTAACAATAGACTTGATCATGTTTCACAATATCATTTACATTTTTTATGGCCTAATAGTGACAGCTCCTAATCATTTTGGAAGGATGAAAAAAATATCATATACAGAAATTTATGAGTTTTACGATATTGTAGCAAGTACATTTGTTTATTAGATAGATCTACAATTGCTTGCATATAAAAAAGATATGTATAGTTGTATAAAGTACTTTTTGACAAGTACTTTTGTTGTAATTGAAGCTGTAGAGGTTTTCTTCACGGATGTGCGGAAGTGCGGGCATATTCACTGAGTATTCTAGATAGCAGCACCAAAATATCTCTGATTTCACATAGGGGACTTTTTCTGAATTCAGGTCCCTGATGCATACTTAATTAACATAAAAATGCCTAATTCCTCGAAAGCTAGCTTCCATGATTTGGTGATATATGGCATGAGGGATAGGGGAAGTGCATGGAGAGAATAGGAGACGAATGATAAAGAAAGAATGGAGAACATTAGGATGAAGAAAGGAGAGAAAATGAGGAAAGAGAAGATAAGGATGGGACAACGAGAGAAAGGAGGAAAGGATGGGAGGGTAGAAAGGGACTAAACTATAATACAGAATGGAAGAGAATACCCAAATGTAGAGACAGAAAATGGATCCAGAGGACAGGGGAGAACAACAAAGATGATATGGAGAGGACAGGGGAGAAAACAACAAAGATGATATGGAGAGGACAAGGGAGAACAACAAAGATGATATGGAGAGGACAGGGGAGAACAACAAAGATGATATGGAGAGGACAGGGGAGAAAACAACAAAGATGATATGGAGAGGACAGGGGAGAAAAACAAAGATGATATGGAGAGGACAGGGGAGAAAAACAAAGATGATATGGAGAGGACAGGGGAGAAAAACAAAGATGATATGGAGAGGGCAGGGGAGAGAACAACAAAGATGATATGGAGAGGACAGGGGAGGACAACAAAGATGATATGGAGAGGACAGGGGAGAAAACAACAAAGATGATATGGAGAGGACAGGGGAGCACAACAAAGATGATATGGAGAGGACAGGGGAGAAAAACAAAGATGATATGGAGAGGACAGGGGAGAAAACAACAAAGATGATATGGAGAGGACAGGGGAGGACAACAAAGATGATATGGAGAGGACAGGGGAGAAAAACAAAGATGATATGGAGAGGACAGGGGAGAAAACAACAAAGATGATATGGAGAGGACAGGGGAGAAAAACAAAGATGATATGGAGAGGACAGGGGAGAAAAACAAAGATGATATGGAGAGGACAGGGGAGAAAACAACAAAGACGATATGGAGAGGACAAGGGAGAACAACAAAGATGATATGGAGAGGACAGGGGAGGACAACAAAGATGATATGGAGAGGACAGGGGAGAAAAACAAAGATGATATGGAGAGGACAGGGGAGAAAAACAAAGATGATATGGAGAGGACAGGGGAGAAAAACAAAGATGATATGGAGAGGACAGGGGAGAAAAACAAAGATGATATGGAGAGGACAGGGGAGAAAAACAAAGATGATATGGAGAGGACAGGGGAGAAAACAACAAAGATGATATGGAGAGGACAGGGGAGCACAACAAAGATGATATGGAGAGGACAGGGGAGAAAAACAAAGATGATATGGAGAGGACAGGGGAGAAAAACAAAGATGATATGGAGAGGACAGGGGAGAAAAACAAAGATGATATGGAGAGGACAGGGGAGAAAAACAAAGATGATATGGAGAGGACAGGGGAGAAAAACAAAGATGATATGGAGAGGACAGGGGAGAAAAACAAAGATGATATGGAGAGGACAGGGGAGAAAAACAAAGATGATATGGAGAGGGCAGGGGAGAGAACAACAAAGATGATATGGAGAGGACAGGGGCGAGAACAACAAAGATGATATGGAGAGGACAGGGAGAGAACAACAAAGATGATATGGAGAGGACAAGGGAGAACAACAAAGGTGATATGGAGAGGACAGGGGAGAACAACAAAGATGATATGGAGAGGACAGGGAGAGAACAACAAAGATGATATGGAGAGGACAGGGGAGAACAACTAAGATGCTATGGAGAGGACAGGGGAGAGAACAACAAAGATGCAATGATATGGAGAAAAAATGGAGAAAAAACAGTAACTGTGGAGAAAGACTACAGGAAAAAAATGACTAGAAAAAGACTAGAAGAAAGGATGGAGGAGAAATGAGGGAAGGAATAAAATAATGAGAAATAGGGTGAATTTACCAGAATTTAGAATTAGAAAAAGATAGGGAATAAGGAGGGAAGTCTGCAAAGAAGACAACGAGAGGAAAATACAAAGCAAGAGAAAGAATATGAAGTAGAATGACAAGAAAGGCAAGAAGGGAGAACAGGAAATTTTAAGAAAGGAAGGAGGGAAAAATAGAAGAAAAAGAGGGAAAGAGATAATGAAAGAGAGTATACTTGATCATATCTTACTGTCAAGATCATTTGAATGTAAATAATCATACATGACACAGAACCTGTATAAAGATGGTACAACATAAAATTTCTCAACCATTTGTTTGAAATTGGGAACAGAAAATAATAAAAATTTTGACTGTAAATGATTGATTGCTTGCATAAGAATAAGGTTGAACTTATTTCTAAAAAGGTAAGCCTGTATAATATAGGTAGTGCCACGCCCAGAACCAACGGGACAACTTCCTGTCTGCACATGCTCTTCTTGTAACACATAAACCAACATTGGGCTGTGAACAATTTATCATTGAATCCTTAGACAATTCACACTGCCAATTTATTTTGATACACTTTGCTAGGGAAGGTTTAAATTCAGAGTAAGGCATTGTAATTATTTTCTTTCGTAAGGTAAGTGCTGCTTCAGAAGCCTGATCTACTTCCTGGTGACAGAACATTAAAATCTTGTTGATATGGAGGACAATGCTATGTACATGAGAATAACCTTAAAGTGCCAAGTTTTAGTACATTGTAATAGCCACAATGAGTCTGGGCAGATTATTGCTTTTTAAATTTACTGTTTTCAATTTCATCTGAAGCAAGATTGATTGCAAATGCTTCAGCTGAAAAAACAAGCAAGGGTGATTGCAAATGTTTCAGCTGAAAAAATAGAGGCATTATTGGGAAAATGGCAGGAAGAAAGTAGGTTACCAACAACACATGCTGTGCTTCTTTCTACTCCACATTGGAACCTTCAGTATATAGAAACAGATTCTGGAACTCTTGTACTGAGTACTGAAATGTCTCCAAATGTCAATCAATTGTGTATATGGTTATAGGGTTGGTATCTCAACCGTTTCCATGTTTTGACTTAAGGACTTAGGGCAAAAACTCTCAGCCAATCCTGGCAACATGATTATGTTCATCTCTTTATGCCCGGTAGGTAAAGTATGTCACAGGGGTGAACCATCTTGTCACTTGTGACAAATTTGGCTAGAGGTGTGTCACAGGGGTGATCTATCTAGTCACTTGTGACAAATTTGGCAAGAGGTGTGTCACAGGGGTGATCTATCTAGTCACTTGTGACAAACTCGGCTAGAGGTGTGTCACAGGGGTGAACTATCTAGTCACTTGTGACAAACTCAGCTAGAGGTGTGTCTCAGGGGTGAACTATCTAGTCACTTGTGACAAATTCGGCTAGAGGTGTGTCACAGGGGTGAACCATCTTGTCACTTGTGACCAACTCACCTAGAGGTGTGTCACAGGGGTGAATTATCTAGTCACTTGTAACTGATTTGGCTTGAAGTGTGTCATCTAGTTACTCTCTTGGTACAGGTCTGACATACATTCGTTAAGATACATCTGATGTGCCAACTTTCATAATGGGTTTTCGTTTTCTAATTTTTAATTAGTTAGTTTTTTGAGATTTCTTTGATCTTTTATCCGATTACTTACGTGCCATTTTTCACTTAATTGACACATTTAGGAATTCCTTTGATGGCAGCAGTCAATATTTAGCCAATAAATTAATTTACATCAATATTTTTCAAGCTGTCAAACCAATCTGTTATCTAATCAATAGACTTTATCTGAAAAGGTTGAAATATAAATACAGCATCAAAGCTAAGCAGAGAATCAGTTAGGCCTCAACTTACAGTAGAAACACAATTGTGAAATTGGAGTTAAGAAAAATGCCTTTGAAAACAGATCACTGTTTCCCACATAACTAGAGCGTTGCTAATTCACAACCACAAAATTTGTTTTCCTGCCAACAGTTTTAATACTCAGTCAAGTCCAGTGTAGTTGTTCCTTTCATTTCTAAACTGAGTACATGTATCTAGTTATTTGACCATTAACTTATTCTTCATCAAATAGACCACTAAATACCTATGGACCAGCACTAGACTTGTATAAGCTTTGATAGCTTACTATGTTAGGTACTCTAATTTTAGTTCTGCAATGTAATGATTAAAAATATCTCAATATATTACATTTTTGGGGGGTTTCTCAGGTAATTCTACACCCGATATTGACCATGTGAGTTGCCAGATTTTGCCATAAAAATAATTGTATTATGTATTAGGAACTAATCTAAAATATTTTGATTTTATTTAAAAGATCACCATAGTTTTAAAAGCTCCCTACTTAGCTTTAGTACTTGCCACTTTGAAGTTCTATACAGAAAATACATTATGTAGATACACAATCCATCAACCAACACAATATATCAAACAATACCCTGACTGAGGATTTTACAGAAGCTGCCTGTTATTAGGTATAAACTACTACAAACCTATGCCACATGGCTAGTATCTCCAAATGTGTATATACATGCTAATTGTTCTGTATTGCAGTGGGACCATATGAATGCATGCTTCCAATAAAAAGAAATTTCCCATAATGCCACCTCACTTGAATGTTTCAGACAAATTTATACTTTACCTAGGTTGCTGGAGGGGTGTGGTCAAGAGAAAAACGCATTCCATGTTACGATGACTTTAGAATCAAACCCCTACCACATGCATGGAAACCCCGCCCAAATAAAAACAACCTACAGAAAGGAAAAATAGATTTTCTTCTTTTTTACATGTGCAAGGAAGATATCCTAACCCAGGTTCTGCGGGAGTCAATATAATACAACATAATCTGTCTCACAGGAACAACTCACAAAATGTTTCAATACATATTTGTTCAGGTTACTGTTTATTAATGTACTAAAAAATCAGCTAAACTTATAATGGCTGACTCAAATGACAATATAAGTAAACAGGAAGCGTACATGTATGATAAATGTGTTGCCTACCTGTATAGAAGACCTGTATGCTGTATAAAGATGTAGGTCAATTCCTGGGAATATGTCCTTTGGGGATATTGATTACGACGGACATCTGTGGACAGATCACTTGTACAGCTTCGTTATAAACGTAATCATCATCATTAGGATTCCTGGTAGCCATTTCATTAGTTTTCTTACTCAGATGAAGCCCCTGTCATAACATCAACAGACCTGCTAGGTACATGCATTGTCAAAGACGCCCAAACTCCGCCAGAAACAGACAAGAACTGGATATTTGAAGAATTGTAATTTCACTGTAAATATCTGAAGTGTAACTAAGCAATGCACTGGTGACACTGATGCAATATATCATCCAGAAATCAGGACAGAAACCAAAGATCTCTGACAAACTTCTTTGATAAAATCCTGTTATCTCCACAGTCTCCACTAGACGGTGTCACAGCTGGTCCAGTCCAGGTCCGAACACCAGCTCTCCAGCACTCAGCATCAACTATAGATTCATCCACTCACTCTCTGGTTGGTCATATTTTACAGTAAAAAGAATGCACCGGATTCACACATTTTTTTTTATTTGAAATTCAATTTATAACAATAAATGATTTAAAATTTGAAATTATCTCTTCAGATATATTTCCAGGTTCTTAAGTTAAATAACAATCCACTTAATATAAGAATATACTAGTAAGTAAACACGATGAATTCACAAGGTCAGGTTAATCCATTTGGAGGAATGGCACTTACACCATTTGTCGGTCCTGGTCTGTGTAGATACATAGACCCTCTAGTGAGGTCGCCTTCACAATCTAAGACAGTTAGGAATCGGAGAAACAATTACGTCATACCATACCCAGTCGTTCTCAAGGTGCCGCTAAATCATTAAGCAAATGCCAACAGCCACCGTCTGATGATAAGGTTGTGTATGATGCTTATGCAGCATAAAACTTCCAATAATTTGTACAATTAATACAAAGGGCTGCTGGAGATAAATGGTCAATGATTAACCTCCAGCAGCACTTAATATAAACACTACAGTATCCATACCCTACAACCAGTATAGCTATAGTCTACAGTAAACATATCCTACAACCAGTATAGCTGTAGTGTACAGTATCCATACCCTACAACCAGTATAGCTGTAATGTACAGTATACATACCCTACAACCAGTATAGCTATAGTCTACAGTAAACATACCCTACAACCAGTATAGCTATAGTCTACAGTATACATAACCTACAACCAGTATAGCTGTAATCTACAGTATATATACCCTACAACCAGTATAGCTGTAGTGTACAGTATCCATACCTTACAACCAGTATAGCTGTAGTCTACAGTAAACATACCCTACAACCAGTATATCTGTAGTGTACAGTATCCATATCCTACAACCAGTATAGCTGTACTGTACAGTATCCATACCCTACAACCAGTATAGCTGTAGTGTACAGTAT